CGTCTCTCCCTACTTCTGTCTCCTCCCCCCCCTCCGCGCCTCGTCCTTCTCTTCCGCGCGCTTCCCCATCCCCGCCCCTCTTCCCAGGCCGTTCCTCCCGCTTGCACTCTTCCATCCCGCACTCTCTGCGCACTTCCCCAAGACGATGTGTCCGCGGTGCCCAAGCGATGCCATGCACGAGGGCCGAGGGGGGAGGAGCACGGCAGCGGCAAGGCAGACAGCGATGCGGGAGGCAACACACACACACACACACAAGCCTACAGCGCCGAGGCCCATCCCCAGAAGGACGGGGCCCGCAGCCATCCGCTCTGCTGGCAGCAGGTCCAGCTCCCTTGTCCTCCTCTTCCTCGCCTCATTCCTCCTCTCCTGCTCTTCCTCCTCCTCCTCTTCCTTTCTCCTCCTCCTCCTCCTCCTCCTCCTCCTCCTCCTCCTCCCGCCCCTGCTCCTGGCGGTGGCGCTGATGGCAGCTTAATCCCCAGAGGATGCTGAGACCTCCCCCACCAAGGGGCGGTCGCCGCTGGGGGGGATCCCAAGGAGCCTGCACGGTCGGACCTAGGACAAAAGAACATGAGACCCTCCGCCGGCCAAACTGAAGAACATTCGAAGGTGCCCCTTCCCAGGCACGAACAACATTCGGGTACCCTCTCCCGAAACCACCTCGATCTCATACCTCGGTCCGACCGTATGGTAAGTGCGGGACCACGGTGGGGAGGTAATCCCACCAGCCCTTTAGGGCGTGCGTGGTTCAGAGCGGTTCCTCTTCCAACCATCCTTCCCCTTCGGAGACGCGACGCCTCCAAGAGGCCCCCAAGAGGCTCCCAATAGACCCCCAAGAGGCCCAAAGAGGCTTCACCGAGGCACCCGAGAAGCGTCAAGAGGCTCCCGAGACCACCACGAGGCCCCCAAGAGTCCCCGAGAGGCCTTGAAAAAACTCTAGACATCCGAAGAGACCCCCACAAGCATCCAAGAGGCCTCTGGCCTTTCTGCTGGCCCTCCTCCTTCTCCTCTTCCTCATCCGCCTCCTCCTCCTCCTCCTCCTCCTCATCCTCCTCCTCCTCCTCCCTCCTCCCTCCCCTTCCCCCTCCCCCTGCTGCTGCTCTTCCTCCTCCTCCTCCTCCTCCTCCTCCTCCTCCTCCTCATCATCATCATCATCATCATCATCATCATCATCATCATCATCATCATCATCACCTTCCTCATCCTCCTTCTCCTTCTCCTCCTCTGGCTCCTCCTCAACAATGCTCCCCCTCTTGGGGTAGAACGGCTTCCCAGCCTTTTTCTCCACTGCGTGCTCCCCCTCCTGCGGGTCAGGGCAACTCACCTGGGCGTCGTTCCAGGATGGGCTGGTCGGGCTATGCGAAGCGTCTAGAATTTACCAATTCCCCTCCTTCTCCAGAGACCCCCGAGATGCCCCAAGAGGTTACACAACTGCCACCGACCAGCCTCTAAGAGGCTTCTGGAGACACCCCACGAAACCTTCCAAAGAGGCGTCTAGTCCTTCGAAAAGTCATCGAGCGCCTCCCAGGCATCTCCCGTTGGCCACCAGCACAAAACGGCATTCCCAGTCGCTACGACCCGACGGGCACGCAGCAACGAACACTTTGAGCAGGCCAGTGGAACGAGCGAAGCGATTGAATAAATAAGGGGACCACTGAGGCGAGGTGACCAAGTCCCCAACTCCTCCTCCTCCTCCTCCTCCTCCTCCTCCTCCTCCTCCCCTCCTTCCTGCTCCCCTGGACCCAACTGCCCCTCGGCTTCCGCTCGCTCGCTCGTTCCTGCTCCCCTGAGCTGAGATCCGACGTTGCAAACAAAGTGCAACATCGCAAAACAAAAAACATCGCCAAATCGCCGGATCCGAGCTTTCTGCGCCAGATCTCGAGCCGGATCAATCTGTGAGGGTCCTGGGGGTCGAAACTGGGCTAACACGCCCGTTGCGGAAAACATGCGACGCCAGGATCTCAGGGTTCTCCTCCTTCAGGACCTCCTCCTCAAGGATCTCCAGGGCCGGTGGAATGAGTGAAGCGATTGAATAAAATATGGGACCGTGGCTCCTCCTCCTCCTCCTCCTCCTTCATTCCTCCTCCTCCTCCTTCATTCCTCCTCCTCCTTCTCCTCCTCCTCCTCCTCCTCCGCCTCCTCCTCCTCCTCCTCGTCCTGGGGCCCCGTCTCGACCAGCGGCTGCGTTCCGTCCCTCCTCCGTACGGGGGACCAAAGGGTACCGACACACCACTCCTCCCCGGACCTCTCGGGACGCATCCTGACCAGGATTTCGAGAATCCAGCTCCGGAGATCCGACGCTCCGAAAATATTTGAGCGGCCGGTTTGGGGCCGTTCCCCAAGGAAGTGGTCTGGACGTTCCAGGCCCACGCTTCTAGAAAATTGAGGCAGCCGGATGTGTGGGGCAGTGGCGACGGGAGCTCTCCAGAACGAGCAACGGTATCGATAATCATCTTTCCTGTCTCTGAGTCCTCGAGGCCCCCCTCTTTCCTACTCCACCTCCTCCCCCTCCTCCTGTTCCTCCCCCTCCTCCTCCTCGGGCTCCGTCTCGACCAGC